CCGAACTGTCCTTATCACTGCAATCTGTGTCAAACTTCTAGGTCATCTACACTCTAATTTGCCAGTTTTAGGTATTTTAAGGGCCTTTTACGTGCAGTATTTAGGCGCTTATTCTACCTTGCATAGAGTTGAATGTATTCATCAGCATTGCCTGTAAATTAGTATTCCGACTCAGGAGCACAAAATTACGTCAGTCGGGAATGTCCACGAGCCTTTGCACGAATCGAAGTGAAATTTCGCCAACGATGAATCCACTTGCGTATGTGGGAAGAAAAGACTGCAAGAATGATGCATATACTGTTGCTAAATAACTATTCGTTATTCTTAAGAACTTTTTACACAGCTCGTTTCAATCACTTATTTTATGTGATGTGGCATTGAATTTCTTGGTTACATTGCTGATCCTTTTAAGGTTGGGCTCTTTCCAACATTCATAACGCTTTTCTCAGTCGGCCTATGGTACGATTCTGAGTAAAACAACTAATATTTTTACTTACCAGGATAATGTATTTAGAATAAGCTAATATTATGACATTTTGATCTTGTTTCGCAAAGTCATTGGAAGCTCAGCTAGACCGGTGCACCTACGTGACAGATGAGCACGCTGCCATCTCTAAGTGCCTTGCTGCAACACGGTCACAATCATTCGCATGGCTGTTTTCCTGCACAATTTAAACGAGACTGAGCCTTTTCCTTGCAGCCGACTCTGTCTTCACCAATGCGTTGAGAGGTGAGGTGAGAAATGATTTCAATCTCACCAACCAGATTGTAGCATGATTTGAAACTGGCTGAATGCAAGATTGGTTGGAGAGATGGATGATCCACCTAACTTATCATTCAAATGCCTATTCCAAGCAGCATCTCTTTGGAAGCAGCCTTGGAGTGCACTTTTACAGTATTGTTTGCATTTGTGGATGTCATTCAGCTCTCCCACACAGGATTTAATAAAACTTGCGTACTTCGTTTAAGCAGCCGTTATAATGAGGAACAGTGGGTGCGAAAGAGGAAGGTGAATTTCAAGGAAGGGATATGCAGTTGAGTTAGCTTTCATGCAAGAAATGAAAGCGTGCTGAGGCCCATTTAACAAAGGACGGGGAAACGCACAGCTTGATAAATTGGATGTAAAATCAGTGTATTGTGGTTGTTTGGATTGGGTATGACTTGCATTTCCTTACAGTGTCTGATTATGGTGGGGTCCTCCAGTGAGAAAACTAAGAAATGCATTTTGACCTTATCAGTTGGTAAAATCCACTTTTCTTTTCTCTTTCGAAAAGAGGTATAG